GAGTGTCACAGACAACACAACGGGGGCAAAAACGAAAAGGAAATACAAGGGGGGGGGGAACTCTCCGACTTCCAGGAGACGCCACGTGTCACTTCTCCAATCACCTGAGGAAAAAGGTAAATAATATCCCACTCACTCTCTCCAATTAATTTAATTTAAATTTAAATTATTTAAATATATATATATATAATTAAGTTAATTTAGAAATAGGATTTTTAAAAATTAAAAAAAAAAAATTAATCACGAAATTAATGACGCGCGTGCTGTTACACGCAAAAATATAAATTCCATTTCCCTTAAAAGCATCCACTCACTCCCGACGCGCTCCCATAAAAAGCTAAAACCACGAACGATAAATAATAATTATTAAATGATTTATTTTTTATTTTTTTTTTACTTTTTAGGAATTTTAAAAAAAATCTTTTTGAGGAAGCCGCGATAAAGTCACCGGTGACAGTTTGGAGGTTTCCTGCTACCTTTTCTCTCGGGCTCCGAAATTTACAAAAGCTGATATTTTTCTGTGTGTGTGTGTGTGTTTATGGAGACTGTAAAAATATAAATTTGGAATTTTTTTATAAAGTAAAAAAACAGAATTAACATTGAAGAGACCTGTAAATTCATCGTAAGAGAATTTTTACCAAAAAAAAAAAAAGTTTACAGAGAATATACGGTTTCAGAATTACCTGCTTTCACTTTTTTCTACTTTATACCATATATGTCGCAGCTTTTTCTTGCTGTAAAAAAGCAGCACTCTTATGTATTATCCATTTATACCAACTCCTCTTCGTGAGAATTATTGTCTTATTCCTTCCTCTTTATACCACATACATACATATATATATATATACAAAGTACAAATTAGTAATCTCCGTCGATCCAAACTCTCACACTTTGCATTTACTAGCTAAGGAGTATTACGTTCGGTAACGTGCGTATTGTCCTCCCGCGATCAAGTACTTACTGCCGTATGATTGACATATTCAAATTTGCGAAACTAACAAACATGCTAACTAATTTGTGAATGCTGGCTTCTCTCTACGTACGGTTCTCTACCCTACACGTTCGAGTATCGGATTCAGTATATCTATCGCGAAACAAACGAATATACTGACTAATTTGAGAATGTTGGCTTTCTATCTACGTACGGGTCTCTACCCTGCGTGTTCAAGTGTCGGACGATCTCAAACAGTTATTCATTGATGATATTATGAATATTTATTTGCCCAAAACGTGCGCGATGATTTTTGTTTTTAAAGAGACAAAACAAAGTACAAATTAGTATTGTTCCTAGTAATTCTCAAAATAAGGACCGATACCCAAGAATTCATTCTTCAACAAAAATTATTTCTTTAATTTATTTGATCTATTTCGTAATAAATTAGATAAATTTACATTATACTGCAAATTTAAATTAAAAAATACAATTGTATAGAAATAATATGTTATCTCACACTTTATAGTTACTCACCGAGCATTATTACACGTTTGCTAACGTGCGTATTGTCCTCCCGCGATCAAGTACTTGCTGCTGCATGATTGACATATTCAAATTCGCGAAACGAACAAACATACTAACTAATTTGCGAATGCTGGCTTCTTTTTACGTACGGGTCTCTATCCTACGCGTTCGAGTACCAAATTCGGTATATCTATCGCGAAACGAACGAATATGCTAATTAATTTGCGAATGCTAGCTTCTACCTACGTACGGGTCTCTACCCTACATGTTCAAGTGTTGGATGATCTCTAACAGCTCTTCACTTATAATATTATGGATATTTATTTGCCCAAAACGTGCATGATGATTTTTTTTAAAGAGACAAAACAAAGTACAATTTAGTATTGTTCGCACTACTTCTCAAAATAATGATCAATACCCAAAAATTCATTCTTCAACAAAAATTATTTCTTTAATTTATTTGATTTTGTAATAAATTAGATAAATTTACATTATACTACAAATTTAAATTAAAAAATACAATTGTATATAAATAATATGTTATCTCACATTTGGAAGAATTAGATGAATTTATTATATATATATATAAAAAAAAATATAAACTTACATTGACTTCATTCTCTCTTATATTAACAACTTAAAGTATTTTTAAATAAACTTACACTGAATTTAAATATCTTAAAAGATAAATTTTCACTAACAACATAATATTTAAAAAATAAACATATTGTAAATATAATTAAATAAAAATTTTATTTGAATTTAAATTAATAAATAAAATAAATTATAATTAATTAATTAATAATCTTAGTAGAATAATTTCATTGGTTAAACTTAATTTAAAATTAATATTGAGATTACTATTAATGTTTTATAAATTAATTACACGTTTTACTCTTGCAAATTTATTTATTTATTTATTTTTGTATATATAAAAACGTGTATGGTTAAACGAGAGTTACGTGGAGAATTAGGTTTTAAATTGGAGAGAATTTTATGCCCAAAAAAAAAAAAACCAGACCCATTATGACTCTTGCATTTGGACAAAATACAAACCATGTCAAATTAAAAGAACACCCACAAAAAAATAAATAAATAATAATAATAATAATAATAATAAATTACCCAATTAATTTTTTTATTTTTTTAATATTATAAAATTAATTATGATTATTTTTACCAATATATAAATTATTATGTAATTTAATTTTAAAACTATATATAATTATATTTTTTGGGAACGTTCAATTATTATGTGGTACCATTAAAAGAGCCAAAAGGAGAGAAACAGCACGAAGCAAATGTAAGCCAAGGAGACCTTATCTAAGGGAAACGACACGTGTCAGTTCAGGGAAGCTGATGAATGACGTGGCAGCGAAAACAACGAGGCCGGTGTTTTTTTTTTTTTAACGGTGTGGCGATTAACGAGGTGAGAAATAACGGCACGGAGGTAGTAAAATCTGTTGAAAAAATAATATAAAATTTAATTTAAAATAATAATAATAATAATAATAATAATAATAAAGAGAATCTTGGACGGGATTCCGTTTTGAGGTGAATTTTAGTTGGGGCAGGCAGGCGGTCACGGGGAATCCGTAAAAGGGCTGTTTGGTAAGTGTGTTTTTTTTTTTTTTTTTTTTTTTTTACTTTTTCGCCTTTTGTGACTAATAATAAAATATGACAAATAGAATAATGAAAAGCTTTTTCCTCAATTATTTTAATTAATAATTTTTTAAAATATATATATATATAATACATATACATACATATATATAAATTCTAATTGGCCACTCTTGAGAGTGTAAAGTGGAAACCATGAACCACCACCACAATGCCAACATGGTATATTTTATATATGAAATTGATATTTTATACTATATAACTCGTATATTATTTATAATTAATTTATAATGTTTAATTCGTTAAAATTAAGAATGTATTTATTAGTGTATTAATAGAATTACAGCGAACGCTTTAAATTAATTTTTTATCGAGAGCAACGAATTGAAATTTTAATTTATTAATATACACGTAATAATTAAATTATATTAAATTTTAATAAATTTATTATATTTTTAAATAAAATCAACATTTTGTAAGCTATCCCACATTAAAAAACTCTTTGGCTAAGGGCATGTGGAATTATTTATATATATATATATGTTATAATAGTGATGTATGTACATGCACACACACACATATATATGTATATATATATATATATGTGGATTTGACTCATGCAACTAACATAAGAAAGCCAAACAATTAAAGCCAAGAATTGGGTGGCTTTTCAAAGGGCATATCAAATTATTCATTTGTTGCACAAGTTTATAATTTAAATTAAAATCGAAATTATTTCTTGTTATTTATTTTAATAATATTTTAAATCTTATAAAACAACATTAAAATTATATACATATATTATTAAATGCATAAATAAATCACCTTTATTTTGTTTTGGGTTTATCAAATTTGAACAAATAATTATATATATATATTTAAAAAAAATATATATATATATATATTTACATTCTCATTAATACGGTGACTAAATTAAATAGATTTTGCATATGTTAAAAATTTAATAAATGAAATTTGAATTTAACGTTGGATAAAATAAAAAGGGTTTTGGGTATGAATTAATTTCTAATTTTGATAATTCTTAATAATAATAATAATAAACAAGGGAGTGGTGTGGTTGAAATTTGAAATGTAAGGGAAGAGAGTTGACCGACGGGAACGGAGTTTTTACCGAGGGGTAAAACGGTAAAAAAGAAAAGAAAGAGAACGGATTCAGCCAGCAGCAGTAAAACAGTAAGAATCCTGGAAGAAGCTTTACTGTTACTGTTCAAAGCTTTTTTTTTTTGGATGCGTTGAGTTAGTTAACTTTTCTGTATGAGCTGGATCCACTCTTCCAGGACTGACCCACTATGAATAAAAAATTTCCAAAATTAATGGAAATAATTCTTTAATTTCTTAAAAAATTCACAAAAATAAAATAAACCATCTCATGTAACAGAGGATTTGAGCTTGAACTTGAGAGTTGAGACAAAAACCCCCATGTCTTCAGCTCCAATCTCACCCAGAAATATATATATGAAAAACTTTTTCTCATACTAATAATCCAAAAATCTCACTTCTCTCTCGAAAAAAAAACTTATTT